TGTGTCATATTTCAAACATTCAAATTAACAATTTTAATTCTTATTTAAATTAACAATATAAATTTTTATTATTTATTTGGCCAATAAATTATTATTTGGTCAATATAACAATATAAATAATTCAGTATATTTGTAATAGGAATTTATTATTTCAGGGGCTTATATCTCTCGAAGTGTCCTGAGTAGGGGTATGGTTCCTTTGACTTTATAAATGCTAGTTAAATTGGGTTCAGCTAATCAGATCCTCTACAACAGGTGTCCCCAACCCTATGCCCACAGGCACCAAAGCACCTGCCAATTGTTTTACGTGTGCTCGCCACTGTGCGACCACAATAAAAATATTTCAGTTTTCAACAAAATGCTATGTAAACGTTTTCTTATTTTTAATGATTATCCACACAAAAGTAGAAATGGTATCCAATACAGATAAAAGCACAAAGCAAAATGTGACTGATCTCTTTTTCTTCTCATGCCAAATCTTCACCAACCTAATTTCCCATACCTAAAATGAAATGAACTGTTCCATTTTTAATGTTGCCGTGACAACAAAGACATTTGTCTGGTGATAGCCAGACAGTAGTGTGGTTTGTGTTGTGAGATGAACGTTCATTTGACGTATCTACTTCATTATTTATTCATAATTATATGCTCATATTTTTTTGTATACTGTGTTTCCTCCTTCATTGTTTTTAAATACTTCCTTATTTTTACCCCAAAATGAGTGGATCAAGTTAAAGATAACAGACCTATAATTTTAATACTGAATGGGAGGATTCATATGCTTTGTCAATTTAAAAGACAAATGTATTTGTTTGTTGTGTGAAAATAGAGTCGCGGTGCCAAAAAAACATAACGTTGAACGTCATTTCCTGACACTTTTCATACTACTTTTAATACGGACTATCCACTTAAATCTGAAATAAGAAAGAAGAAAATAGATCAGCTAAACTCAAATCTGTCTACTCAACACTCAGTTTTCACTAGGCCTGTATTAAGATCTAAAAATGCCATTATCGCTTCTTTAAAAATTTCTCACATACTCGCAAAGAAGAAAAAGCCTTTCCAGGATGGCGAGTTGTTAAAAGAAACATTTCTTACTGGTGCCAATTGCTTATTTAGGGAATTTTCCAACAAACATGAGATCATGTCAGCAATACAAGACTTACAGTTGTCAGATAACACCATTACAAGAATACAAGCCATTTCAAAGGACATGCAAACTCAGTTAAAGAGTGATTTGGAAATATATGAGTGGTTCTCACTACAATTTGACAAGTGTACAGACATATCAGACACAGTTATGGTGAGAATGGTATTTAGTGACTTTACTGTAAAAGAAAATCTACTAAAAATATTATCCATGAAAGGATGAACAACAGGTGAGGATATCTATAAAATATTTATAACATATGCAAAGTCGATAGATATGCCTCAACAGAAGCTGTCCGCGATAACCACTGACAGGGCACCAGCAATGGTTGGTAATGTCAATAGATTTATTTCCCTCTGCATAAAAGATAAATCATTTCCAAATTTGATGTCATATCACTGTATTATCCACCGGGAAGTTTTGTGTGGTAAAATACTACCCTTCAGACATGTCATGAAAATAATTACAAAAATAGTCAACTTAATTTGTGCAGCTCCTTTGCAACACTGCCTTTTCAAGGCCCTATTAGAAAACCCTGAAGATTCTGATCTCATTCTGCATACTGAAGTATGTTGGCTCAGTAAAAACAAAGTTCTTGCTAGATTTGTAAATTTAATTGAAGAAATAAAAAATTATCTCAATGTCAAACATCAAAATTTTTTGAACCCTCGTTGGCTAGTGGATTTGGCTTTTTTCACAGACATATTGGAAAAACTGAATTATTTAAACTTAAGAGCTGCAGGGAAAGGACAAACATATAGCTACAATGATAGGGTCTATAAACTCATTTAAAGCTAAACTGGTTTTGTGGATATCACATCTGAAAATGAAGTCCCTTGTGCATTTTCCAAATACAAAAAAAATGATAGGCGATGGTGAAATTGACTTATCAACATTTGTTATCAACTTTCAATTACTTCAAGACCAGTTTGAAAAGTGTTTTCAACAGTTTAATATCATCGAGCCAATTGTCACCTTTTTTTGTCAATCCTTTTACTTATCAAGTAAATGTAACTGAACTAGCTACATACATTTCAGAGCTTGTTCAAGTAAGGACAGAAGAACTGGAAAAAGAATTTTGGATCTTCAGAACGACATTATCCTAAAATCCATTGTATCAGAAGAGAATTTCTGGAATATAGTTGAAAGAAACAAATTTCCATTCTTGAAAAGAGCAGCATATAAAATAAAATTGTTTTTTGGTTCCACATACTTGTGTGAATCATTGTTTTTGACAATGAATATTATAAAATCAAAGTACAGATCACAACTTACAGATGAACACCTTGACGATTGCTCATGAGCAAGAATATCATCATATTCTCCTAATTACGAAGCAATGGCCAATGAAATGCAATGCCAAAAATCACATTGACTTTGGGATTTATATTTTTATAAAGAATTTTTATACTTTGTAGATTTTGTATGCATTGTTTAATAATTACTTATTTTACACAAGAATATTAACAATAATTTTTTTATGTTAAATTACGTTTGAATTAAATGTTTTTTGTACATTATGTGTATGTATTATTAACTATGTCCAACTATAAATTCACCATGAAAAACTAAATGGTGCCTGCCATCTGACCAGTATTCTAGAATGTGCTCTTAAGTACAAAAAGGTTGGGGACCCCTGCTCTACAAATTGGAACCACATCAGGCTCTTAAAGTCTATTGAAATATTTAAAGCCAGCCATAACTCCAATTGCAAAAGCTCTACAGATGAGATACTGCTATCCAAAGCATGGTGAGCATAATATGAAACATTGTTATAGCCTGGGTGACATAGTATGGCTCAGTGTATTCCAACTCAAAATAAATTATTTCAACCTGAAGCTTGAATCAGGTGGATTCTGAAAACATTTGTGATTTGTCACATCTTTCATGTTGTACTGGATTCTGAAGAGGTTCAGTGGTATGAAGTTATTAAGTTTCCAGTGATAAAGAAGTACATTTTGTTACAATATAATTTTACATAATGATATTATATAAGTTATAATTAACTTAAGTCTAATCAATAATAATACTCATATAATGACATATATTTTATAGCAATAAAATTGTAAATTAACATAACTCTTATATAATAATTTTATTATGCATGGTAATAGCAAGAGATATTGTTAAAATAAAATTTAAATTAAGAAATACATAATTCAGAAACTTTATTATAAAAAAAGCATTCTTACATTTTTTCCAGAATTCCATAAGCAGGCAGATGTTGGCATCTTTCATCTTTGAATAACGTGGCAAGCATTCTGGATCTTTGCTGGCCTAATTAATTTATAATGTAATCATTTATAATTATAGTCTGGATGATATTTTTAAAATTTATGTCCAAATCCAATTTACAGTCAAAATAACTTCGTATAATTTTTATTTACATTGATAAATCTTGTAAATTATAAAATCAAGAAGTATCATTAACTTTCATCAAATAAATATTTTCTTCATTTGGCAATTCTAAATTGAAAATATTAATCCAAAGGCAGACAATACATGGCTCAATACATATTCAACACAGCCTTTGACTTTGGCATAATTATTATTATATTAATGGGCCTAACTAAATATTGGTAAGTGCATTAACATTATTTTAAATTCATGTAATGAATTTCAGTTTAATGTATCAATAATAATTTTGTATTGTTGGATTTGTATGTAGGATATTAAACAAACAAAAATGTTTGTTTAATATCCTACATATATGACTACATTTTAACTATGATTAACCTAAAGCAACCTGAGCAACTTAAGCTCTTCTATTAAATATACAACAATTTGGAAACTAAAAACAAACTCAGGTTTACTGTTTGATAGTCTTAATTGGAATACCTGTGTTTTTCTGCATTTACTCTTGTATTACCTTGTTATGTCATTCTTAAAACAATAACTTTTTTAGAAATTTACTAAAAGTTTTCATCTTCATCTCCAATCTGCACTATTATTAGGATATTGGATTTATTTTATAGTAAATCAATATTGTCAATATTTTAGTATTAAAATTCAAAAAGAATTTTTGAATAACCTCAATTTATCCACAATGCATTTTGATTTTGCCAGTTATCAAATATATCTTGCTACTTTCTGAAGAAATCACCCCATAAACTAAATACTGTATAAGTCTTTTTTTAGCAAGCCCATTATGGGTTTAGCCATCCCACAATAGAACAGTTGTACAGTGAGAGATGGGGTCCAATTTATCTGGACATACCACTCCTGTTTTTTCAACCTATCTGTATTAGATCCCGGGTTCCCTACAATAACAGACTGCCACTTTGACCACTTGATATTATGGTCATTACAGAGAAATATGTTATCAATTTTGCTATTGAAAAATCTTGAGTCTGATCTTTACTTTCGGACAAATAATAATTTATAGCAGTGGTTCTTAATATAAAATGCTTATACCTGTTCTGAGGTTGAAAACTCTGTATTAGAGATGTTAAACATGTAACTGTCTGTGATCAAAATTTAACTTACAGGTTTTAAACTGCTTTAGACAGAATGTTAAAAGTATGTCATCTCATTTGTGTTTTCTTGTGAAGCCAAAACAAAAAACCTATGCTGTGGAGTTCAGTTTTATTTAAAATGAAACATTTGTTGAAAAACTGCCTCCCTTAAAACACTATTTAGTTCTATATCTATTTTTTTTCTAGTAATTCAATACAGTCGACCCCCCTATAACACGGTAGATATGTTCTAGTTTTTATGAATCCATTTTCTAAGAGTCCAGCCAATCACAGCCCGGCACGTATGCAGTTTACAGACTACGGGTGTCTGAAAGGTTTCTTCCATAAAATTAATCAATTCTAGACTAATTTGACTCAACATTTCCAAAATACATATAATTTTTTGGGAATAATCCATATAAACTATGCTATAAACAAAATGTAGGATTATTTACCGAGCGTGCACTGTTTGACTACGCCATTGCTTAAGCTTGTTTTTGTCGCGGAACTTGTCATCAAATGGCGCTCGCGTGCTTCCTGATAAATTATTTTTTTTGCGAAAAATTCACAGAACTTTGGAGACATCATTAATATAAATATAATTTTTATGGACGTTAAATAATAAATGGTTTTTAGTAGGTCTGCTGCTCGTTTAAACTCGACGGTTTGTGCAATATCCACTATTGGTCTATATTCGACTAATCCTGCCACAACACGAGTCGGGGATGACATTTTACCGAATTATAGGAGTTTTTTTAGTGTGTTTGTACGAATACTGTCACAATTTTTTCGCCGTGATATAGGAATCTGAACTATAGGAACCCGTGTTATAGGGGTCGACTATATTTATTTTCTGTTTTATTTAGCTTTTATTTGTATTTAAAAGATTCCATAACATTAAAAAAATATAATAGAAAAAAATGCTTTACTGGAGCATAAAACTTACAAATGAATCAAGTACATGTACTTTCAGACATTTGTCCATCATCAGGACATGTTACCATTACTTTAGATATGCTTGAAATACCACTACCATGTAAACCAAGTATGTGATAAGTAGACATCAGATTTTGTAGCCACAAAAAGCCAAAAACAGTACAGTAGAGCATTGATTATCTGACTCCCAATCGAATGATACATTGGTTAACCGACCGTGTTCTAGTTGGCAAATTCAAATGTCCGCTAGTGATGTGGCACTACAATATTTGGCTATGTCTTGGCTACTTTAATTAATTAATTAATTAATTTAATATTATTTTTGTTAAATTTTTGCTGTTTTTTAGCTGGCAACAGTGGCTCGACCATAAAAGGGAGGCCAGTATTTAAACGTGGCTTAATTTTCTAATTATGAGTGGTTGTTTGTTTTGTGAGCAATAAAATAATTTTTTTAAAATTTTTGTTAGGCTTAACATTACGAAAATTCAACGCGAAGTAGATTAATAGCGATATACTAATATACTAATTACATGGGATATACTAATATACTATACTAATAATGTATAAAAAACTGAACCAACACCTTAATATTCGCTGAGAGATTTTTTATTATAACAAATGTTTTTGATCTATTCGATAGATCATCTTCAGGTTAAAAAGAATATTTCTTAATTGGAACAATAAGTTCAAAAATTCAGAAATATTAATAAACAATAATATTTCCAGTAATAAGAATAACTAATACATTGTAAATGATACAAAAATGTAAAAATAAATAACATATTACTCGTACTAAATATTAATACTGTCTATTTTTCATATTTTTCGGTTATCCGTTTTTTCAGTTATCTAACCAACCCCAGTCCCCAATTGAGTCAGATAATTGATGCTCTACTGTAGTAATAAAAATTTCAACAGCAGCAAAAAGTAGCAAATTTAAAAATAAATCTTTATTGTTAACACACATTCAAAGAATTGAACAATTATTTTAATCTTTATAATTTCTTTATTATTTTAATTTACTATATTTTGTATTTTAATATAATAAATAGTACGGTATTACTAAGTATTTTCTAGAAAATGAAACTGAGTTTTGGTTTCACAAGAAAACACAATTATGGTTACATTCTAAAGCAGGGGTCACCAAAGTGGTCGATGTAACATTATTGGGGGAGTCGATGCAGCTAGGGGTCGATTGGGGGTCTATGCAGCAAAAAGGTCAGAACCTGTTTTTTTTTCTTTTTTTGCTCATATAGAAATCACAACGTTTTATTTTTTCCTCACACACTTGCACTTGTAACAAAACTTTACGGTGGGGATCAATGTGAGGTACAGATACAGATATTTATTGATCAATATGCCATATGGCATATCCCGGTGCCACTAAGTATTACCGGGTATATACAGGAAATTACATAGTTTACACTGAAGATTTCGATAACTAATTATTAACGTAAATAAAATTAATTAACGCGTGTACAATTATATATATATAAGGTTATACACGCGTGCAAAACATTAATAAGTATAAATAGATAAAAATAAATTTAAAACATAAAAGTTGCTGGAAATGTGACAGAGTCATAACATTATATAGTTACACGAGGAACATATGTTTTGTTATCTTACGCGGCAATTCTGTTTCAGCAGAGGTTTTCGAATCAGACTAGATAAAAGTTTTTTTTTTTTTTTTTTTTTTTTTTTTTTTTTTTTTTT